AGTCTCCATGGTCTGGTCTCTGCCCCCTTCCAAATCATGCTCTACACTACAGCCTTAGCAATTGTTAGAAATTCGATAATGTCCTTCCATTGCTTAAAAGCCTTCAATGCCTCTCCATTACATTGGTCCAAAGGCCTTTCTATGGTTACAAGGCTCATCTTGGCTTGGCTCTGTTCACTTCTCCAGCTGCTTCTCTTAACCTTTTCCCATGTATGTTATTCTGTAAAAACACTTAGCTTCATTTAGTTCAGGGACCCAGCATGCTTAACTTTGTATTGGGATTTTTGCACATGCTATTTACAGAAACAATTTTACTACTGCCATTCTTTTTTGGCTTATTCAGTTTCAATGTTATTTTTTTTTCAAGGAGACATCTACCAATTCCTCAGTGTGGGGTTAGCTGTCCTGTCATATATCCTTGAAGTGGGTTTAATGATACCCTCCTAAATGTCCACATCTGAATTACCAGAATCTGTGAATGTTACTTTAATTGGAAAAGGGCTCTTTGCAGAAGTAATTAAGGATTTTGAGATGAAATCATCTTGGATTATTCAGGTGGGCTCTAAATACAATAAGAAGTGTCATTATAAGAAACACAGAAAAAAGGAGGAAGACATGTGAAGAGGGAGACAAAGATTGAGTGATGCGGCCACAAGCCAAGGAAAGCCCAAAGTCACCAGAAACTGGAAGAGGCAAGGAAAGATTCTTCAGATGAAGTGTGGTCCTGTTGACACCTTGATTTAAGTATTCTATTGTCCAGAACTATGAGAGAGCAAATTTTTGTTGCTATAAGCCACCAGATTTGTTACAGCAGCCATAGGAACTAATTCATCTTTCCCTTCTTTCTATGATGCCTCTTTTCACAGTGCTTCCAAGTGGCCTCTTTCTGTGACTGTGTGTCCTCCTAACTTGCCATAAGCTTCATTAAGACATGGCTTTGTTTATAAGTGTATTCCCAACACTTGCTCAGGACCTGGTACAAGTAAGCAACCAGTAATTATCTGATGTGTGAATGAAGCACTGTTGGCTGATACACACAGTAGACTTTGTGGAGGAGATGGACTTGAGCCACTCTTATAAAATGGGCAGGATTTGGGTGACATTGAGAAGGAACGTTCTTATCTAGAGATAAGAACGAGAGTAATATGTGGACTCAGAATGACATGACAGGATGGGGTTCCTAAAATACAGCTGCATGAGGTGACCTACCTGCAGGCCAGAACTTCCCTAGAAAGTGTGCTCAGCATCTTCGTGTGCCAGGAAGGGGTCACGGTTTGCCATAACATCTGTTCCCCCCATTATGGCTGGCCGGGGGCTGGGGCTTCAAGCAACCCACTATAGCACACATATATCACTATGTTCTTTGTGTGCCATGCTGAAAACAGACTAGGAAATACTCCTAAGGTAAGGAGTCATTGAAACGTCTTGAACTGAAACATGGATCGGTTCAGATACATAATTTGTGAGCCCCAGTGTAAAATAAAAATGTTGACCTCTGGTTCAAAAATCATAAACATTTTCAAGATGCCAATAGTAGAGCATTGAACCAGTATAGAGCCTTCTAAGTGTGGGGTCTGGTGTAATTGCCAGATCTCACACCCGTGAAGCCAACCAACTCTGATCATGAAAGGTTTGCTGAAGGTGGATATGAAGTCACTGTGTCAAATGGGTTGAACAAGCAAGGGGTCTACCAGGGGGATGAGGTAAGAGGCTACTGCAATAAACCAGAAAGGTGGAGGTGATGAGGTCCTGGGTTCAGGTGGAAGCACCTGAGCACTCAGGAGGTTCATAGAAGTACGAAGGGATAAAAAAGCTATTCTGAGAGATAAGAGACAATATGTGCTTATAGTCAGGGGTGCTTCAGGGTCTCTCCAGATTTCTCAGAGCAGAGGAAGCATCAGGGAGCCCTCGAGGAAATGGGGAACATTAGTGTGTGTCATTGACCCTGTACTGACTGGGAGGTATCTCACACAGGACTGGCCATTTTACTCCACAAAGGAACCATATACAGACATCAGGCTGTACCTAATAACTTCCTGACTTTAGTTAGGATGCAAAAGGAAGTGGATGAGAGAACAAAACCTACAATCCTTCCGGGGGCCACCATGAGTGAGGGTGAGGGCTGGTGGGGACTGTCACAAGCTCTGGACTGTCCACAGGTGCACATAGTTATGTGAGAATACAAGGGCATGATGGCCAGAGATACAGACTTTAAGAGAGAAGCTAAAGATCCAGAATTGTGCAATCTTTCTCAATTTTTAAGGATTGACAACTAAGTTACATATATATGTAAGCTTCTTGAAAGCTTACATTTTTTAATATATCTTTTTCTTTTAAATCCTGTAAGCTGAACTGTACCATACACACTCATGGGCCAGGTCTGGCTAATGGGACTCAGCTTGCCACCTCTGCACAGGACACAGCAGGTAAGAGCCAGGGCTGGGCTCACATCCTGCCTCTGCCTCTTGATCAGAAGGGCCCTTCTAAGTCTCACCCTTCCATATAACGGGGATGACTGTGGTATCTACCTCTTGGAGTAGTGGTGAGGTTTAAATGACATCTTTTAGGCAAGGCACAGATGATGGTAACTGATATGTAAATAAATGTTGGCTGTTGCCGTTTTTAGCACCCACTACATGATAGGTTCTGTGCTGTGTACTTTATATATTCTATTTTATTTTGTGCTTACAACCATGCTCTCAAATAGGTTTTATTATAGTATATTCATCTCTCAGAGGTGGGATGGAAAGAAAGGCTCAGATAATCCAAATTCACTTGCCTCAAATCACAGACTCTAAGTCTGAGCAAGAATTCAAATCTTGTAATTTCTGCTTCCAAAGGTATTGCTTTTGAAACAGTCTCTCTTACCCATACTGACTCCTGTGTTTTATTTTGGAGGTTTTTAGAAAGACTGTTCTAGCCAACAGTACTTTTCAAGGAAAATTTAGTAACAAAACAAACTCCAAAAAGAAAGAAAGCTCTCCCTCTACCCCTCCCAACTCAAACACACAAATGCACAAAACAAAAGTAATGAAAGCTGCCAGTGCATTTTCTCCCCCATCCAGTGGACTCTTAAATAACATTGTTTAGGGGAACACATTATTCTTTGTATTTTCCCAATTCCTCAGGACAACCACTGCATTCCTATTCTGCCTCAGAGGTGAAGAAGTTGATAGCATAATAGACAAGGGACCTATGTACAAGCCCTAGGGCAAGAGATTAACAGGTAGGACTCCAGTGCCTTTATTGAGTAGACAAACTCTCTTGGGTCCACTCAGCAACGATGACAGGTGTCAGGGCCAAGGACCGGGCCCTGGAGCCTCTATACCCTGGAAGGCAATTAGGTATTCGTTCAGTGGCCTATACTTTATGTATATTCTCCAGTTCTGCAAAGTGATCACTCCATCCCCTGGTTCTCTTCGGGGGCTTTATACTCTGAAGTTATCAACCCAGGATCATCCAGCAAGCCGACTTTCTTTTCTTAAAAAAGGAAGGGAACGGAAGGAAAAGATTTGCATTGTTTGTAGGTCTCAAAGAAGCAAGAATTTTAACTTGTTCCTGGAATAAATTCTGGAGCATTTGAAGTAAGAGTGGAATTAGGTAGGGTGGGGGAGGCCCTAGCTGGGTAAGTCGGAGTGATGAAATTCATGGCAAACAGCTTTGTTTGAGTCTTTTGACTACGGCCAAGCCAGTAGGGCTGAGAGCACGATGTTCTCAATAACACCCTTGACAATAACATGATTTGTTTCCCTTCCAAAGCTGAAAATGGCATCTCAGCCTGCAAAGGGGAGCTTTCTTCTGAACCTGTGGGATGGGAGAGCTGATTTCATCCCTCAGAGTAGGAAATGAAGGCATTAAGTGGAGCGGACTTGAATTGAAATGTCATCTGACCATAACACTTGCCTAAACAATACATATTTGATTTTGTTTTGGAGGAACTTCTCATCAGTCTTTTCATGGGTAGGATTTCGGACTAAGATGTCTTTCATTCCAAACCACCAGATTGAAATTGAATATTGCCTCAGTCCAAAGGTACAACATCTGCGTCATTTCCGTATTTCACAGCAGAAACTAAGTTCTGAAGCTTGACCCAACCCAGCTGATATTTTGAAGGCCCTGGGTTGATACTTACCTAAATGGTTTTCCCTTCTTCACACCTTTCTGGGTTCTTTCAGATAATTGGGAAGATGTAAAGTAAACTTCAGTGCTTTCTCAAAAGGGAAAACTAAAAGTTAATAGGTGTTTATGCCCTTAAGAAAAATAATGGCCTAGTGACGCCTGGGTGGCTCAGTCGGTTAAGCACCCAACTCATGATCTCACACAGTTGTGGGACTGATCCCCACATCCGACTCCATGCACAGTATGGAGCCTGCTTGGGATTCAATCTCTCTCTCTCTCTCTCTCTCTCCCAAATAAAAAAATAATAACAATGTGCAATTAGCTAGCAGTTAATAATGATTGCAAGCGATTGCAGATCTCTTGGGCTGCACAACTGCTACAGACAGAAGTATGTGAGGTTCCTATGCTTCTCCATCAGTGGAAAGCACGGACTGAGCTCAATTCTGGCCAAAGCAGTGCACTAGTCCTGCAGGGAAACAATGAATCACCAAAGACATGGCTCCTTCCCTCACTGAAATTCCAGTAGAAAGCAAAACCAGTCACACACATTCATCTACCTGGGAAAGATAGGCACAAACTCCAAGGTGAGCGCTGTGCAAGTTCATTTCTAAATCAATGGCTTGACTCTAGACTGCATTTGCCAGTGTAAAATATAACCTAAAGGTTGGCAAGCCACATCCCATTTACTTCTTCAGACAAGTGTAGGATTTACCCTCCTTTTGCAACTTTGTTTCTACAGACTAATGAATTGATCTCCATGGTCTTCACAGTAAATCACAGAAGCTCTGTGTCACCATCCTGTGGGAGGGAATGGTCCCACCTCTCTCCTTTTACTGAGCTTCTGCTGTTTAAGGGTTCTAGTGGGGGTAATAAAATGGTACCTGGCTATATTGGTGGGAGCAGTGAGTGGTAGGTGCCTTAGGTGGAGAGGGAAAAGCAGGGAGGCTTCCAGAACATTCAGGGAGCCATTCCTCTTTAGGAAGGAGTTTCAATCTTAGCTGTGGCACTTCTTGGTAGTGGGGCTGTAGGCAACACTCTTCTGATGAGTCCCTCAGCCTTCAGGGACCCTTTGAAACTCAGTTTCTACATCTGAAAAACAAGAAAAACAACAATAATAAATGATGCTTCCTTCATGGGGTTGTCGTGAAGATAAGGAAAGGGAAGATGAGAAAGCACCTATTATAATGTGCTGTCACAGAGCTGGCATTCATTAAATATTGAATCTGGATCTATTAGAAAACAGGACAACATATACAAAAGTATAAACAAATGCAAATACATTGAATGCAAACTGCTTATATACAGGCTGAGAAATAGATGTGGAATTATATGGATATGAAGTAATTTGTGGGCTGGCAGATAGAGCTACCCAAGGAAACTCTGAGAAACTTCCACGTGGATGCCTCTTTATCAGACATATCTCTTAACATAGGCAGGCTTTTTGAGGGCTTCATGATGGTTTTGGATTGATCGGGGCTTCTGTCTGGGGCTCTTGGCTCTATGTCTGTCCCTGTTGATAAGACGGAGCTCAGCCCCACCCTTGTAGAGTTGCAAGATTTAGCAAGTAAAAATACAGAATGCTCAGTTAAATTAGAATTTCAAATAAACAATGAAGAATTGTTTAGTATAAGTATGCCTTATGCAATATTTGGCATGTATTTATACAAAAAAAAAATCCATTGTTTATCTGAGATTGAAATCGAACTGAATGTCCTACACTGTATTTGTGTCCCAGCCCCTCATCTTGTAAGGGCCTAAGGGTGAACTCAACAGGATACTCCACACTGACAGGTAGTGAAGAGGAATTAACTACACCCTGGGAGATTGGATTGATTCAGGAAAAACAGCAAGGGCAATGTGGAGGGACACACAAGGTGTCTGTTGTCAGGAAAGCTCTATCAGGCTCCCCTCTCTTCAACTCTCCTGTTTGGATCAGGGGCTCTCTTGGCATAAACACCAGGACTGATGCTCCTATGCTGTGGAAGCTTGGGAAATTTGGCCCCAGGGGGGATTGCTGTCTGCCCTGGATAAGGACCTGAAAGAAAATACATGTGACCACAGCTCAGGAGTTCCTCTAGATTCCAGTCACTCCTCCACCTAAGAATCAAATCTTACAGCATCAAATCCACTGCTTGACTCAGCACCCGCTGTTTTTATGTTTCCCTGTTGGACACAAGAATCTTTCATTAATCCTCTGCTCTGTGTGGTGATTCAGCTTAGTAAATTCTTAGGGTGACAACATGATTTGAAGAGAAGGATATGAAGAGGCAAAAAGAACAATAAAAATATAAAAATAAATAGTGTCACTGACAGAAGTTTGGAGGGAGATGATGTTAGAAGAGCTGTAAAAGAACTGATTTCTTAATCTTCTGGTGAGGAGTAAGCCAATGCTGTCAAAGCTGATGGAACAAAATCTAAGCACATAATTTAGAGTTATACACACCATAGAAAACTTAAATATACAAAAACTTAAAAACAATAATAAAAGCTTAAAAAATAATAAAACTAACCACACTTAAGGAATGGGCAGGATGGTAAGAAGGCCAAAGATAGTATAAGAGGTATTCATTGTTCATCTTTCAGAACATGAAGTAAAAAGCAAACAAAAACTATTGAAACCTTATAAATAAAGACATAGAAGTTTATTGGTTTAGCTTGTGATGGATTATTTTGAAGCAACAAACACTGCCCTAATATTAAAACAATGATGTATTGTTTTGCTTATAAATCATGTCTGTGTCTGTGGCTGCCAGTCTCCAAGATGGCTCCCAGTGGTCCTGCCTCATGGTATGCACACCCCTGTGTACTTCTCTCCCACATGGTGCCAGAGTTGATTTAAATGACCAATCCAATACTAGAGAAGTGATGACACATAACTTCTGTGATTAGGTTTAAAAGGCATAATGGCTTCCACTGTGGCATATCACTCCTTCTTGGATCACTTGTTTTGGAGGAAACTTGGTGCCATGTTGAGCTGCCCTGTGGAGAGGCACCTATGGTGAGGAACTGAGATAGGATTCCTGCAAATATCCAGGTGAGTGAGTCATTTTGGAAGCAGGTCATCCATCTGGCACCGGTCAAGCCATCAGATTGCTGCAGACCCAGTTGACCATTTGATTACAGCCCTCATGAGACCCTGGGCCAGAATCACCTTACTAAGCTGCTCCCAGATTCCTGACCCTCAGAGATTCTATGAGATAGCAATATTTTCATCTAGTGAAAAATTTTAAAAATATTTATATGGTAATTATTTTTATCTTAAGCTGCTGCTACATTTTAAAGTTATTTGTTAGGCAGCAATAGATACTAATACAGTGGCTGTGAGTTTACTGACAGAAAAGTTCTCATTATGAGACTAACGAGAAAGGAACATCCCCTAGAACATCTGTTCTCATTGCAGAGAAGAGCCTAGAGAAGTGAAACCCACAGGGTGTTAAATCTTCTGCTTAATACTGGTGTACTTAACTGCTGCTCACCTTTCATTGGTTAAAGCAAGTCCATGGTGGAATCTGTTTCCAGGGAAGGTAGGGATAATCCTTCCACAAGAAGGCACTACCATAGTTAGGTATGGATAATTCTCTTACTGGGAAAGAGGACATCAATAGTTGGGAATTATAATACATTTGATCATAAAAGGTGTAATGTTTTTGATAATATATGACTAAAATATTTCTGGAAGGAGATTCAAGAAAATTCTAACATTGGTTGCTTTTAGAGGAAGAGATCTGGGTGTCTGAGGAATAAGGATAGGAAGGAGATTTTTCATTATATACCTTTTTTGAATATTTTTAATGAGATCTAAGTAAATATAGTATCTATTAAAATATTTACCTTAAATAAAAATTTAAAGTGGAGAGTGTGAGGTTTCTATTTTGAATTCTGTTACTACTAGAGAGGCTTTGGAGAACCTACGAGTTACTTAAGGAAAGTGGAGTGAGGATAAGGCAGGAGAAGTGAGACACTTAGATGTTTGGTTTAGGTTCTGTTAATTATTATTATTCTTCTTATTTTAATAAAACAAACTTTTGATTTGGAATAGATGTACTTTTGCACATTTCTTCACTAAGGATAACTAAAGTCCCTAGAAATTTTATCTAAAATAAACATTATATGATTTGGAAAGACACATATAAGAAGGTAGCTGGTAGGCACTTGGAGACCTCAGAAATGACATGGCCACAAGTTCTCTGAATGTTCTTTTTGCCTCATATTGCCCAGACTTGGAACCCAAGAACCAGAAAGGCTAACAGGAGCAGACAACAATAGCTAAAGCCCTCAGAAAAGCCTGCTTTCACCAGCCAAAGGAAGAGGAAAGCAGCAGTCTAGAAAGACAGACAGAAAAAGCTGTGGTCCCGTTCCCACCTATGCCAGCGAAGAGCAGGCGAAGAGCCTATACTTCTGACACTTGTGAGCTGGTATTGAGGTGCTCCTGACCCCTCACTGAGGGATTGGCAGAGAAGGCCACGTAGGGGGCCAGGACTTTCATCCCACTGGCCTGTAAAACATCCCCCCATCCCCACCTCACAGGGTCCATGGAGATGGAGCTCCTGTGTTCACCTGGCAGTAACAAGGAGCCCTCTCCCAGGTGTCAACAGAGGCCAAGTGGGGAACCTGGATTTCCACCTCCTGCTGGCAGTAACAAGGTGGTTCTCCATCCCCTACCCCCAAACCCTGCCACCTCCTGCAAGAACAGTATCAGAAAGAGCCACTTAAAAAGAGACGTTTAAATCAGATCCAGCCTTATATTTAGGTATACAGTTTTCTATTGGTTTCCCATGGCTGCTACAACAAATGATCACAACTGGGTGGCTTAAGACAACGGATAGTTATTCTCTCACATTTCTGAAGGCAAGGAGTCTGAAATAAAGGTGCTGGCAGAGCAGCTTTCCTTCTGGAAGCTTTAGGAAATAATCTGTTCTTTGCCTCTTCCAGTGGCTAATGGCAGTTGGCATTTTTTTTGACTTATGGCCACTTTACTCCAACCTCTGTCTCCATGACTACAATGTGTTCTCCTTTTCTGTCTCCTCTGTATCTCTCTTTTTAAAAAAATTTTTTAATGTTTATTTTTGAGAAGGAGAGAGAGATAGAGTGTGAGCAGAGAGAGGGGAAGACACAGAATCCAAAGCAGGCTCCAGGCTCTGAGCTGTCAGCACAGAGCCCGATGTGGGGCTAGAACCCATGAACTGCGACATCATGACCTGAGCTGAAGTCAGAGGCTTACCAGACTGAGCCACCCAGCTGCCCCCTCTGTATATCTCTTATGAGGACACTTGTTGAATTTGGATCCCACCTGGATAATTCAGGATAATCTCCTGATCTGAGGATCCTTAACTTCATAACATTTGCAAAGACCCTTTTTCCCATATAAGGTCGCATTGATTTATTCCAATAATCAGGACATGGACATGTCTTTTTAGAGACGACTATCCAACCCACTATAAGGTACAGCTATTTCTATGAAAATCTCAGCAAGATTTTTGTAGACATAGATAAGACTACCCTAAAATTTATATGGAAAGGCAAGCAGTTTAAAATAGCTGAAATAATTTTGAAAAAGAAGAATAAAATGAAAAAATTAGTCTACTGAATTTTAAGACTTATAGCTGTAGTAATTAAGATTGTGTGATACTGGTAGAGGGATAGATAAAATGGATCAATGGAACATAACAGAGAGCCTAGAAATAGACTCTCACAAATATGGCCTACTGGTTTTTGACAAAGATGAAAAAAAAAAAAAAAAAAGAAAAGAGAAAGGAAGAAATTGTTATGGAACAATTAGACATGTATAGGAAAATATATGAAGCTCAACCTAAGTCTCATATTCTTTACAAAATTAACAAAATGGATCATGAACTTAAATGTAAATTAAAACTATAAAATTACTAGGAAAAATAGGAAAATATCTTCAGGATCTGGGAAAAAAGTTATAAGACTTGATACCAAAAATATAATGTATAAAAGGAAAAATTGATAAATCAGAAACATCAAAAATTTTCCTCTGTGAAGAGACCCTGTTAAGAAAAAGAAAAGACAAGCTATATATTGGGGAGAAAATATTTACAAACCACATATCTGACAAAGGA